GTGCGAAACCAAGGTCGTGAGGGCCAGTTTTGTACAACCAAAATGCCTTCTGCTTGGTCATTCATTATTTTCCTGATCACTTTTAGAATAAGCGCGAACGGAGGGAAAGCATAAAACTCCAGATTAGCCCAATCTGTCGTAAAGGCATCTATTTTTGTAGCCTCCGGATCCGGAAACCAAGAACAGAAAATTGATCATTTTGTGTTAACATTTGTTGCAAACAAGTCAATTCTTGGCTGGCCCAACTTCGCCACAATTTTCTTGAAAGCATAATCTACCAGCTCCCATTCCGTTTCTCCTGATATTATGCGCGATTCTCTAACAGCTTCAATGTTTTGGGATGATTTAATGTACGTGGCGTGAATCCACAACTTTCTTTGTTGGCACCATTGCCAAATTTCTTTGCTAAGTGCCGACAGCTTCGGATATTGTATACTACCCATTTTGTTTATATAGCTAATCGCGGTAGAGTTGTCTATCCTGAGTAAAATTTCCGCAGACTTTATGTCAGCAGCAAAGCATTTGAGTCCGTAGAAAGCGGCTTGTAATTCAAGCAGGTTAATGTGGTTTTGCTTCTGCCTATCACTCCACCAACCATGCGAGTATTTGCCTGCGCATGAAATTCCCCAGCCAGAAAGCGAGGCATCGGAGAAAATTTCTAAAATAAATTTCCATTCTCTGATGGGATGATTTACTGCATCGATGTTATTGATCCACCAATCAGTCCCACGACAGTCGGGTCTACGTAACCGGAACGACCCAGATTTATATCTGGCCAAGGACTGTCACTCCAGCAACAGTCCCCAAAAACCCTTTGGGGAACTTGAATGCTGCTACAACAACAACAACAACATCCACCAATCAAGATCTTCGTGCAAATAAGAGTCAATATGAACTTTTTGCTCGTAATCACCGTTGCTTTTTCTAAGAGCTAAAATTTTTTATCTCAAGATGCTTTGTATAAAGCATTCCATATTGAACTGCAGGACAGGCTGCGATAAGGTAACCTATAAATTGAGCTAGAAACGTAATTTTCACCACAGACATTGACTTCAGGTTTTTGGCTGATATTTTGATTTTTTCTCGTTTCTCCAATGGAAGACTCATACAAATCCTAAAAACTTGCAGATCGGAGACGGTTCTAATTGAGATTTTTGCCAGTTTTTCCTGAAACCTAATTTTTGCAAAAGCGACGTCGTCTCCGCGATGTTTTTTCCTCCTCCTAATTGGAGCATATCGTCAAGGTACACGACTGATTGCCACTCTCTCGACCGTAACTCTTTGACGACTGGTCATTACTCTGGTAAATATATAAGGAGCCACCCATAGACCTAAAGGTAAGCAATTAAACTCGTGCAACTGTTTTGTAAACATAAATCTCAAAAATTTTCGGAAACATTCATGAATTGGTATCAGCAAATATGCATCCTCAATGTCAATGGGGGCCAAGAAAGCGTTTCTTGAAAGTATTTGTGTTACCGTTTTCCAATCCTCGAGCTTAAAATGAGGAGCAACAATAAATTTATTTAGCATTTTCAAGTTTAAAATAAAGCGTTTCCCGCCACTAGGTTTTCCAATTAAAAATTATGACGACACGAATTGACCCTCACTTTAGTTACATGCACTAATTGCACCTTTCCTCAGAAGATTTTTAATTTCTGCTTCACAGTCAGCGATCTCCTCATCGTTAAAATGAGGTTCATTGGGTACCTGACTTTGATATACACCTGAGCAAAATGAAATTTTATATCCAGCTATAGCCTGCAATGCTATCACGTCTGAGGTAAGTTGTCGGCAATGGCTTATAAAATATTTCAACCGCCCTGCAATTATGCATACCTTAACTAGCGACGGTAGTTGCTGCGATTCCTGCTCCGATGATGGCCTGTTTCGTTCCGAGATACATTGCCCCCTGTCAGGTAGCTCTTCCTCTGGTTGTACTTCCTGACGGGGTTTCGAGTTTAAATATTGCTTCGGCTTATAGCCTGATACTGGCTTCGGAGTTGCAGTTGTTGAGATAGCTGACGATGTCTTTTCCTGCTTTCTCCATCGTTGAGGCTGTCTTGGCCCGTTCGGTGAAAGATTCGCCAAACAGGAGCGTGTCCACTGGACCCTCTGTTGCAACACTTTTGGACAATAAGGTTAGACCAGGCAATATAAATGAGCGCCGGGTTGTAGATAGCTTGTAATGCAAGTCTGTTAAAATTCTGCCTGCGTCTCCAAGAGCTGCATTAACGGCCCTATTTGTCTCATCTTCAGGGTCTTGTTTCAATGTTTTTGAAAATGCTTGACCCAAAGCGCTTAATGCCGCACCAAGCTGGTTTTGAAGCGCTAATTGAAAACTATCTCTTTGGAGAGCATGCGGCGCCAGTGTTAATTTCAGCTCTGGGATTAAAGCTGGACCACCCAAGCCGGGACAGTTTTCCGGTATTGGATATTTTTCTAAAAGTTCTTCTCTACCCTCTGGTGGTAGCCCTGACCTTGCTAGAGCTAACCACTTTTCTGCGATTGTTGAAAAATCTTCAGCCCTTGTCTGTGTGTTACAGTATTTGGAGCAATAAATGCCAACGTGGAGTCCGACAAGACCACTTCACGGTCTGGCGACCCCGGCGACAGACCCGAATCTTTGGCCGGCTCGGCACACTGTTCGCCTACTCCACTTCCTGAAGTTAAGAAATTCGAGCGATTATGAACAATGTCAGGTGAGTTGCCTGACGCCCGTGTCGGTGCTCGCAGGTCACGCTCGCCGGGGTTCATTGTTTATACTGGTTGAGGTGTCGTTCTTTTCGAGATACGCTTTCCGTCATTTTGATCAGAATTTCGATGATCATCCATGTAGCGTACTCTATTAGCATTTCCACAAACTCACTCTCGAGCGTGAATAACGGGTAGAACCCGAGCTACAGGATGAGCAAGAATGGCGTCTCGGATTACGCACATCCCCTCTACGCTGCGAACCTCGAATTGATTGATGCGAAGTAAAATGGCTGCTTGAACTGGAGTCTCGATGAACAGACCTGCGACCCTTTCGTCTGCTTTGACGATACTCGCGTCTTACGTCGCTCTTTCGACCTTCAGCATCCCTCTCCAGTTTTGCAATTCTGCGCATAGCATCGGCCAGAACAGATTGCGAAGCATCCATTTTTGCTGGTTTATGAATTCCTCTGCTATTTTTCTGTTTAACAAGTAAGAACACGTGCGACTAGATCAGCACAACAAAACGTAATGAAATTCTACAAAATTCTTTTAAAATTGTGAAATGTTGTGACTAGATCTGGCAACTGGCGTTACTACGAGTTATTGATCTCGAGAACGAGACAGTGTGGTATAATTTGCCTACCCTTTTTCCTAACATTAGGTTTGTTTTTTACATTTTCGGGCTAGTTTTGAACAAATGAGCGCAAGTACAAAATTTATGGCCAAGAGGGGACCACATACACTACACTCTACCTAGGTGAGGTACCGTGATGAGCTGACGGCATAATAGACCGACTTGTCACAATGCTTTATTCAACTATATATCTATCTAAGTACGAAATGCCCTCACAAAAGTGAATAAACTGCCCAAAACCACCACGGGAACGCAAAAGCCTATTTTCGTGCCCGAAACTAAGAGCACAACCAGCCACTGACGTAAAACCACAGACCGTGTCAGCTGATACGACCTATCTTAAGGGATTCTCCAGTTAACGAAAAACTACCGCATGGCGGTGACGTCGTTGCATCTCTCTCTCTAGCAACAGCAATTTCATATGTTGATACGGACGGCAGGCACGGAAGGGCTTAAAATGTCAAATCGCACAAAATTATAAATTTAAGATTAGCGGCAGCAAACACAATAACGTTAAACTAATGGTTCATTTGATATTTTTTCACTTATCAATCAAAGAAAAACAGCTAAATATGCACATATTAGTTGCGTTCCCTAACTCGCAAGAATTTGCAAGACTTTACAGAAATTTACCAAAAAGCGTTCCCGTACTCGGTTCTCTGGCAAAGTAGGGAAAAATGGGAGAGTAGAATCGGTCTTCTCTTTGACAGAAGTTATTTCACCCGAAGAATTTTTGCTGGTAAAATCTGGTAAAGTGTCAAACCATCAGCTGTTCAAACAAATTGAAAGTCGAGTAAGCAAAAACAAAAGTACATACATCTGCATTTTCACTTTAATTAATATATCGTATAGAAGAATATCAAGTTTTGTAAGTATTTTTGTTAATTTGCATGTGTATTTGCGTATAATTTAACAGATCGCCAAATAATAAAAAACTGCAATGTAAACAAAAAAATGGCGTCCATGGTGGATTTGACACTTTTACCAGTTTTTACCCGAAAAGCGTTCCGTACATTTTGGATTTGCTCTCTTTCTCTGAGAGCAATTTTGCTTTTTGACAGTTTTATCCAGAAAAGTTGAGGAACGAAACTTTTAGCTAAAATTTGAATGATTAAAATTTTTCCTCTTCTTCTGGCAGTTTGACAATGTTCATAAACTCGCCCGGAAAAATAGTCCGGCCGACATCGGGCTAGAATGAAGCAAATATTACTCGCTCTGACTCTCAACACCCCGAGAACCAACCAAAGAGACTTATTGTGCGTCCCGGTTTCAAGAATGCAAAAGTTGGCAACACTGCGACCCACAGACCCATTGGGAGCTGTTTGACTGCTCAGCTCGGAAATTTGCAAAAAATACCATATTTCAAACCGAAATTATTAATAAATTAGTCAACAGATGTAAAATTTTTTTTTAAATAAAACAGAATATTTCTATAAGTGTGTAAAAATTTTTTGATCCAGATCATGCGCTTGGGCTCAGCAACCCAAAATCGTTGTACAAATAACTAAACCGTACCCGGTGGTCCGCAATTATTTTCTGATTTTAATGGTATACAAGTTTTATGTGGCAAACATATTTTCGATATATGGAGGAGCAAAGGGGAATTTTTGAAAAACGGGCATTATTCTGCACTAGTTCCCCATAATTTTCAAAGTTTGAAAAGCTAAATTTAGTTTTTTTTAGAGATATATTAAAAAGAAACTATTTAAATGGACGTTACTGTTTGGAAGTCGAACTGGAGGACTTAACAGGCTACGACGAGGTTTTGGCAGATAAATTGCATAAGCAACCTACTGAACATTTACAAATATTTGAAGAAGCCGCCAGAGAGTTCGCAGATGAGATAACATCTCCCAGACCTGAACTTGAAGAACAGTTGCATGATATCCAAATATTACTTTCTTCCAAAGCTAATCCAACGAATGTGCGTGATTTAAAATCAGACAGTGTTTCTAAATTGGTAAAAATTGCTGGAATTATTGTCTCTGCGTCAGGTATTAAGGCAAAGGCTACTAGAATGTCGATCATGTGCCAGTCATGTAGCACCGTCTTGCCGAATTTGAAAGTAAATCCTGGTTTAGAAGGCTTTGCACTTCCTCGAAAGTGTACCTCGGATCAGGCTGGACGTCCCCAATGCCCATTAGATCCATTCTTTGTAATGCCAGACAAATGTAAGTGTGTGGATTTTCAACTTTTGAAATTACAAGAGTTGCCTGATTTTGTACCACAAGGAGAGATACCTCGGCATTTACAACTATTTTGCGAGAGATCATTGTGCGAACGTGTTGTACCAGGTAACAGGGCTCTTATACAAGGTATTTATTCTATTCGAAAAATTGGAAAGCCATCCCGACAAGATGGCCGAGAGAAAGCCGTTGTAGGAGTTCGTGCGCCTTACATGCGCGTTGTAGGGATAACAGTTGACACCGAAGGATCTGGTGCAATATCTCGTTACAGTAATGTGACAACGGAAGAAGAAGAAACGTTTCGCAGGATGGCAGCATCTTCAGATATTTATGATCGATTATCCAAATCTTTGGCTCCCAGTATTTTTGGATCAGAAGACATAAAAAAAGCAATAACTTGTATGCTTTTTGGCGGGTCTAGAAAGAGATTACCTGACGGACTGAGTAGGCGGGGCGATATAAATGTTTTATTACTAGGAGACCCTGGAACTGCAAAGTCACAGCTTTTAAAGTTCGTTGAAAAAGTGGCCCCAATCGGCGTATATACTTCCGGAAAAGGTTCCAGTGCTGCGGGCTTGACAGCTTCCGTCATGAAAGATCCATCAACGGTGAATAGTTTTTATTTTTATAAACTTGGGAGGTACAATACAATCTCATACGATATACATATCGCACATCGTCTTCAAAAGAGGCACAACTTAAAATTACACGTTTGTCAGAAAATACGTAAAACTATTTCTTAGCACATGATAATCAAATGGGCAAGAGAGACTACCTAAATTGTAACAAAAATTTGCTCCAGCGTAAGGCGAATTTATACTAGGTGGTGTTGGCAGAACAAAAACAAAAACTTCAATAACAAATTATACGCTCATTGACAATAAGTACTAAACAAACACATCATGCGCCGTGAAATCAGCGGATCCGGTATCACCACCTCGTAAGATTTTCTCGAGCGCACAATTTCAACAAGTAATTTTTGAGCGAAAAGCAAAACCGACTTCAATTCTCATATAAAAATTTAAGATTATCGTTAATTTCTTCACGATCCAATTATCGGATCTAAACAAAATTAGTATGGGACCACCCTTGAATTATCAAAATCGGTTAACGTGGTCCAAAGTTATGCGGTAACATACATAAAAAAAATATTCCGACGAACTGATAACCTTCTCCTTTTTTTGAAGTCGCTTAAAAATGCCAAATTTTGAGTCTTTCCTCTTTTGAATATGGTATGGCGATATGTACGTCGCCAAGACGAATTTATATAAGGTGGTGGTACCAGATCAGCTCATTTTGTGTATGTGTTTCGCCTCACTGCTTCTTGTCAAATGGAACAATTTTGTTTGCATTTCCACACACACTTACAGATTTTGACAGTCTATGCCGCCAAAGCAAAAAGAAAATAATGTAAATTTTTGTTTTTGTACTCTTGCTATCATCTTATATTAATTCGTCTTGTAGGTCGCCTTATAACATTGCTCGTTGGCAACTTTGCTCCAATGTGTTGAACAATTTATGTGAACAAATAACAAAATCGTCGACAGCGAAAAAAAAATCCGCTACTAGATCAGTAGCCGACTGTCAATAGCTAGTAGCCATACGTAATGCGAATTTTTGTATATGGTTGCCCATTGGGTATCAGTCGCCATACACAATAGGGCCATTATTTCATCGTATTAGCAGAGCTGTTAACGAGTGTGTATAGATTTAAAATACCATAAATTAACTTACCGCGAAAAAATGTGGCATTATCTGCAGTGTTTCACGAAATACTAAATATTATATCTGGCCTTTTAGGAAATTTAGATATTAGGAGGTTGCTGTAATTTGGACCCTTTTTAGTGGAAATATGAACAATGGAATGGTTAAAAGTAGCTTACCATAAATGACAGCACCATGGAAACATAAACTTATTTGTTGTTGTTGTAGCGGCTCGGTTCATCCAACAACGTCGGTTCATTAATCAACGTTGTTGTTGTTGTTGTTGTTGTTGTTGTAGCAGCATACAAATTCCCCAAAGAGTTTTTGGGAAGTGTTGCTGGAGTG